GACTGTCTACTCTTCAACATGGTTTTCCTTTTTCTCAGTTTGCTTAATTAATAATAGTATTATTTAGTGGAAAATTAATGGTAATAAGATTAGGTAAAACATAGTTAGGGGATGTGTAAGGTCTTTTTTTAGCATTGCAAATTTATGTCAAAAATTTTTCGACTTTTTTAATGTCTTATTTTTGAACGTCTCAAGATTAATTATTATCTGTAGGCTTTGTTTCATCCAATCCTCAATTCCTGAGTTTTCAATGTCTTTCTTTTTTCTTTTTTAACCCTAAATCATCCCTAGGAATTGTTGGTTAAACTTTAGCCAAATTCCTGATTCTCTTTAATTATTTCCCCGAATAATAAAGTTAATAGTTTTAGTAGTTTGTATAGATTTGTTACTGTTATACAATGATATCTGTAATACTTGAAAATAAGGAAATGCAAACATCAGAAAACTTGAATGTAAATTTGGAGTGTCGAAAGATTGATTGATCCCAAAGATATCATAACTATGATTTATTTTATATAACATTTGGTAGTGTCATTTATTGTTATCAAAAATTAGAAAGCTATTGTCTGTATCGAAGTATTATATTATAGTAATTATTTAATTTTATATTTAAAAACGCGATAAAATTTGATGTTTAAAAAAAAACAAAGCTAATTTCACAATTACTTCACTTCTTTTCCATATTATTCTGCAAAACTTTGTATTTCTCTTTTCTGCAACAAAATTAATTTTGCTTACTTCATTGTAGGCAAAATAAATAACTCATAAATGGCACTACCAATTCCATCATTGCAACATATTTTTGCCAGCGTTGATACTGATCGTTCTGGTAGAATTAGTGTGGATGAATTACAACGGGCGCTGTCAAATGGCACTTGGAATCCGTTTAATCCTGAAACTTGTCGGTTAATGATAAGTAAATTTTTTCCGATTTGTCATTAGACGAATATTTTAGCATTCCTGGCAATATTGATGAAAACAATTTATTTGAAGCCTTAGAGCTAATCAGTCTAAATTATAGCGACTTCTCTTAGGAAATTTATCAAGCATGTCATAAAGAAGAAAAAAATTATGATCGAACTTAGTTATTTTACTTTGAATTAAGATTATTTATCTTGCTTTAAATCAAAATCCAGTTTCATTGCACATGTGGCTTAAAAGCAATATGAAAGCGGAATGGTAATTATATTATCACAGAAAATTGTTAAAGTGGAAGGTCTTTGTAGGTATGTTTGATTCTGATCGCGATGGTGCTATCAATTTTAATGAATTTTCTGCCTTATGGGATTATATCAATCAATGGACACAGTGTTTTCGTTCCTTTGATATTGATGGTTCTGGTAATATTGATAAACGGGAATTATCAATGGCACTTTCTAAATTTGGTTGTTTATCTTACTTTAAATACTGTAGTGCATTTGTAATTACCTTTTTTTTCATGCTTATTTAATTTTTTCATACATTTCTATGTCTTTTTCCCCTTGCTGAAAATGTTAGAATGAAATGAATGAATGTAAAATAGGTTATCTATCCAGTAACCGAAAAACAGAACAAAGTTAATTCTCGGGATATACCATGTATAGATCCATTTTTCTTTTGCTATTTTGTTTTATACTTTTAGGTTATCGGTTAAGCGATCGATTTATTGGTCTGTTAATGATGAAATTTGATAGAACGCATACTCATCATATAAATTTCGATGATTTTATTCAATTATGCGTTGTTTTGCAAACGTTAACAGCAGCATTTCGTGACAAAGATACGGATCGTGATGGTGTCATTACTATCGGATATGAAGAATATCTAACAATGGTATTCACTTCAAACATATGAATATGTGATCAGAAATCTTTACCGATATATATATATGTATATATATATATATATATATCACTCGGGTTCTTTCACTTAGTTACCGTAAGTGCATGTCTTATTTAGAGTTACTTAAAGCCGAAACTAAGCTACTATCTCCTACTTTTCAATGAGCAAATAGTGAAATAAATTATTCGAATTTCTTTCTAAACTTTTTGAAATTTAAATTAGATCTGTTCTTTGACCCTTTGATCATACACTTTACTCATTGTCTATTTTGTCTGAACCACTTAATTTAATCGTACTTAAATTACCTTTAACCTTTCGTTTAAAGGCTAGGACCAAACGATCATTTACAAAAGTTCTTTTATCCTTCTTAAAATTAAGCTCCCTTTTAGTTGTGGTTATTTTGTAAAGTATAACTTTGTATTTTCGTTGGCTCCAGTTTTTTTTTGGTTATGTTAATTTTAAGTGTTTTATTATTAAATAATTCATTGTGAGCATTTTTCCACTTTTCCACATCAGTTTTTATTTAGTCTCAATATAACTTGAGTATGTTAATGAAATGCTTAGTTTGACTATTCGAGAAATGAAAAAGCAACAATTATTTTGGGAAAGTTAAGACAAAAAAAGGAAATGGCTGATGACTTTAAATAAGAACTACTGTCCCTGCATGACGAAAATGATCAAATATATTTTTATATTATTACAGTGGAAGGAACAAAAGTTTTGTAAAACTATTTAAATTTAAATCCTTGTCTTTAATTTCGTTTGGTTCCTCTCCACATTTTCTTTTTTGAAGGATTGGAAATTTTTCTTTTACTTATCAATGATAATAGATAGAGCAAGAGGAAGAGGAGTAAATATTAACATGTAACTGATTCGTAGTTTGATGATCCATTACCTTATCATTTCCGTTTCCTTTTGGTTCAGTTTTACAAATCAATAGATATTTGCATTTTATTTTCTTCATCGCTTAATTTTATGTTACATTTTCAGTTTTATTTCAAAAACGATATTTGTACTAAACTATTGTGAACACTTTTGTTCTTTTGTCCTTGCATCGCTTGCTGTATTTGTGTGCATGATTAACACATGTTTGGTGTTGCTATCATACTATATTGCAAGAAATATTTGCATAAAAATTTTAATTGAAATAGTTTTATATCGGAGAACAAATGGTTTTGAGAATAGAATTTGATTAAGCAACAAATTTTAAGTTCAAAGAAGGCTCAATATTCAAATGGATTTTCTTTCTTTTTCTTTTAGATTTTTCAGTGATTTGAGATTGAATTTTCTACTGATTTTACTGGAAATGAATTCGCACATATACGCTTTACTACAATCTATTTCATATCAATCTTTTTCATAACTTCTAACTGTATGAAAAAAAAATGTTAAGCGCTCATTTCAGGCATTTGTGGTTTACCAAATGGGCAAATAAGCAAGTTTATCTCTGTCGAACCACCTCTCTTCTTTCATCCAGGTCAGCTAACCTCAGTTCAACAATTTATACATCCGACTCATTATTACATGTTATTGTTTTTTTTCCCTTTCTGTTTTGTTTTGTTTTCGATGCTATTTTTGCTTCTTGCTCTGCCTCAAAGGAGTCTAATGGTTTCTAATGGTTTCCAAATAATATTGGGGAATGCGCAATCAGCACCTTATCTTGGCAGCATTTCTGTGCTTATAGCTTTCCAATTATTTATTTGATTACTCTATCAATAAAAGATATTCTTTCACTGCTACATTTGGAATCAGCTGTTACGGTCGAATAGATCATGTCATATATTCAAGCAAGCTTCTACTTTTGTTTTTATGTTGTTATTATCCCATCATCTTTCCTTACCATATGCCAAATTTACAATTTAGAATTAATAAAATGGAGCAACATCTGGAAGTATTCATTAATATCAATATAAACCTAAGGAAGGCATTGTAATAGACATCAGAGTTTGCAATATCAGGATTTCAACTATTTTTAGGGCAAAACTGAGCGAGAAGTAGATGTTCCAGAAATTTCAGCGTTTTCAAAATAGTGCTGAGTGCTTCCATTTGTGACCGTCTACATTTTCGTTATGACATTTCTCGACCAAGACGAGTCAACTGAAAATAATTTTAAAATCTCGAGTAATGACGTGAATAATCTGAGTAATAAAGTAATAATAATGGTATAATCTGAATAATAATGAATAAAGGACATAACGTACTTAGGCCAGTTTCACGAGAGAAACAAGGACTTGTGTACTATGAACTAATTTTAAAAACAACTAATTTCAAAGTTTTTCCTAACTGAAAAGGGTACTTTTGCCACATGTCTATCTGATACCCCGACTTCGCAATCTTCCTTACATCAATACTTTTGAATTTAAACCTGCTCGACAAATTGTTTCGGATTGACTAGTTCCGTGCAACCATATGTTATCCTTGCAAGACCTTTTGATTTACCATAATCCACAAGATTTTGATATTCTACATAATTTCCACCACCGATAACAAAAACTATAACGTCCTGTGGTGGATTACCACGCGCACGCTGAGGCCTAAAGATTCAGTATCTTGCGGTTAAGTTCAACGATTAAAGGCTCTGAAATCCTGAAATTCCTTTAAAAAAAGAAAAAAGAAGCGAGTGCACCAAAATGTGCATAAGATATTCATATGATTAGGCTGCATAGGAAAGCATACTCTTTGCCAGTGGAATGCATCAACTTCGGATCGTAATATCGAAATTCCGCGTCATTACACCGTGGATTGGATTGAAAATTACCCGTAAGAATTGAATCAACCATCTAAAATTGTCGTTGGAACAATTTTCACTGCAAAATGAGAATCAACGCCTTAAATTTTAATTCATCTCTAGCATGCTGATTGATAAAGAATATGAAACTTTCGCTTTGTTTTGGAATAATTCAATATTTCAACAGAAAAGGAAAACTTCAAATAAACATGCTTTTGTCAGCGGGAGATTGTGCTTTTTTGGAACAAGGTTCTTCACTCCTTCCATAAATAACTGTGAGCCGCGATTAAGCAAATTTGCAAACATATTATCAGTTTTAATACCACCGCCCGAATAATCGTTTGTTACACGATTCAGGCTCATATTTGATATTGATCTGGAACAGGCATAAAGAGATAAATCCTTCCGAAAATCAACTTTTTTACCTTCTGTCTCCCTAAATTATACATAATTATAAAATGAAAGAGATGACAAAACTCCATTCACTGCCAAGTAATATTTGATAAAAAATGTAGGTTTTACCAGAGTTACTAGCAAAATGGAATTTGCAATTCAGTAATTTACGAGATTATATAATTCATTTAGATGAAAGACGTTTTTCAGGAGAAAACCTCCATGCTCACCTCAATTGTTTAACATATTTGACAGCTGCATCATCCAAGCCAACTTCTTTCAAATAATCAGCCTGTTCTCTTAGTTCATTCTGCAAATGAATTTGATTAAATCACTACCAGAATTATTCAATCACTCAAAAACGCATCTTCAGTGATCCCTGACTATAAGCCGGAGAAAAGTGTGGATGTTTTTCGAAACAAATCTAATCATCACCATTTAATCCGTCTGTCTTCCTGGATGGTACTTTCGTGGTATTAGTGAAAATTAATCATAAATCACTGATTAA